ACCAACGAAACGGGGGGATAGAGATCGGCGAGTGCTGTTCAGAGAAATTCGGAAGAACAGCACCCAACCGATAGCCCTCATCCGCGAGGAGTTTCAACAGGCATTCGGGAGTATTGTTTCAATGAATACCATCCGTAAGGAAGCACATCTGCTTGGTTTTCATGGTCGTGCTGCTGCCCATAAGCCTTTGATCACCGCGCTGCTCGGTTAATGTGGTGCAAAGCACATTGAAATTGGACCGGAGATCAGTGGAAACGGGTTCTTTGGAGTGACAAATCAAGGTTCACCCTTTACCGTTCAGATGGCAGGGTCTGTGTCTGGCGTCTACCTGGAGAACGTCTCCTGCCAGAATGCATTGTGCCAACAGTTAAGTTCGAAGGTGGAATTATGGTCTGGGGGTGTTTCTCCCGGTATGGGCTGGGACCCTTGGTCCCCATTCATGGTAAGCTCAACTCCGATGCCTACTGCACTATTTTGGATGACAATGTGCTTCCTACGTTGTGGCAGTTTTACGGGTGAGACCCCTGTTACTTTCAGGACGACAATGCCAGTTCTCATGTTTCGACGTTAACCAAGGCTTGGTATGGTGCCAATGGAGTTCATCGAATGGACTGGCCTGCCCAGAGTCCAGAGCTGAACCCTATCGAGAACCTCTGGGACGAGTTGCATCGCGGAATTCAGGGGTGCACTACTCGTGCAAAATCGGTGAAGGAACTTCTATGTCTTCTCCAAGCCGAGTGGAAGAAAATACCGCTAGCTGTCATACAAAGACTTGTGGAAAGTATGCCCCGGAGGGTCCACGCTGTAATTACCTCTCGTGGAGGCTCTACCAACTATTGATTTTGAATAAAGTTAGTTTTTCTTTTCTATCACCGGTGTCCAAATACTTATTGGTAGTCAGTGTATTTAACTGAAAAACTAAATTACATTAAAAAAGTTGTATCTTCCAGATAATATCGGTGATAAGAAAGTAAAGCAATGCAAAGCTACTGGAAATAACAATAAGAAAGTACGCAGTGCAAAACTGCTTTGAACACCAATATTTAATAGGAAAGGACATACATTTAACAGTTTCTGTAACTGGTAAATCATTGTTTGAAATTAACAATAAACCTCAAATGTTTAGTATATACAGTCGACTCCCGCTATAAGGAAATTCAAGGGACCAGAAGTTTGTTTCGCTATATCCGATCCGATAAGAGAACTGTACGCTTTAGCAGAAACTGAATGATAAGAAAAACTGATAAACATTGTCGTATGTACCATTGTCGCATGTATCTTTCATCAAAAATTTGTTTAAAATAACAGTGCCGTTAGCTGTGGCTAAGGTCATTGTTTGGTGAAACATTATTATCGATTTGTTTTCAGTCATACCAGCGATTGTTGACGCAGGCCGAAATTGTAATCGCTAAGCTAGAATTAGCTATTATAATTAAAGAATTACCAGAGTAATGTGCTATTTATACATTTATTTTGGGAACAAAATTAGAACATTTAAGCATTTTTTAAAATTATAGGTCATGTTCATAGAGCATTGTTTGGCACAAAACTTGAAAGTTATAGATGCCAAACTCATGTTAGATACTTCCATGTTATCTTTAAACACAAGTATAAAAATAAAAGCAGATTTATAAAATCAAATGAAATAATAATGATGAATAAATGAATAAATAATAAAATGATGAATGCTGAGATGAACAAGTATATGAAACTCAGATAGTCATCTCAGTTAAAAAAACAGGTGTAAAATCAAAAAGCAAGAGGTACACTGCTAAAAAAAAATAATAAATGAATAAAATAAAAAGGGGGGACAGTTCTGTATCTCCCGTTCAACTGGGCCGATTGACGAAATTCAAATTGCGTTTTTCATGTCTCGAAAGCGCGATTTGGGATATGTATTAGATTTATATATATACCATTGTTCTAATATAACAAATATTCTCTATTCGTATAAAGAAAGTATATAATTTAAATTAATAATTTAACTGAGAAATTTTAATTGCAGAGAAATAAAACTAAAACTAATTATTATTGCTGCGAACTAATTTACAATATCATTTAAATTCTAAGAGTATATGTTGTTATAAATTGACAGTTTGCGTCGTTAGGTGGCGCTCCGAACATCTTATCTCTGTTGATATTCTGTAACTTAACTTTAGTTTGATGAAAGAACGAAAGTGTTAAGCCTAATAACGATGAAGACGTGTGCCTAATAATAATGCTTGTAAAAATTGTATTATATTGTAAATAAAACGTGTGTGTATTAATAACGAAGCGGATTATCACTTACCTCTGGAATTAATGCTCTCTGATGGTAACCGAAATTAGTTATTACATATGTAGTAAGTGTAAATAAAAGTAAGTCAAATAAAAATAAATTCAACGTAGATATGAATTCCAGAGTTTGAGACAAAAGAAAACCAATGTGAGAAATATAGACAAATGTGAAACTAATGAAAGATGTCTTAAACTAAAAGAATGCATTTTCATTCCTAAACACTTGTTTTAAAAAATTTTCCTATCCCTTTACCCCAGAAAAACTGCATATCTCCTAGCTATGAAAAATAAATGTAAAAGTTTTCATATAAAAATATAATCTTTCGAGTTTAGCACTGATAGTTTTGAAAATTAGCGAAATTTTGCTGTTTTTCGTCAAATTTTATGATTACTAAACTTACTACTATCGAAAAGCCCTTGTTCCTAACGTGAATTTTGGGTCATGTGGAATACGGGAAAAGTTTAAAGCCTGTAATTTCAGATTATTTATTGGCTGTGCAAAAAGCTAGAAAAGCACATTTAAAAAAAAATAGCAATATTTTGTAATTTCTGCTACAAACCCTTTTAAACAGTGAATATAATTATCAAATACTATGTAACTATGTTGTGTAATTGTAAATATAATATGTATTGTAAATAGTATGCAACTATGTGTGTGATAACTGATTCATACAATTCTTACGTCTTTGGCAGAAACAAAATAGGAAAAGGAAGCATTTGTAATAGCAAAATTGATTTTTAGAATCAATCTATTAAGGGCTTGCGGTATGTAAGTTTGATGCAAGCAAAGACGACATGATCGTAATTAAAAGAATTAATTCAAAGCGTTTTCGAAAAATTGAAAAAGAGGACTATTATTCCTTCATACAAGAACCAGGATCAGAATTTACCGGACATGTTTCTCCCTCAACCAGGACTCGCTAAAGATATAGCTTCTACCGTAATTTTCCATTCGCCTAGGTGTGAGATTTGCCTTGAAGAACTTGATGTGGTAGGGAACAATGGGACTGTAATTAATACTGGTTTGGAAAATGGTATTACCCACCAGCTCAAACTGAACGTTGGGAGGACCACTGCAATGGGCTACATGTCTCCTACATTTCAATGGACTACAGTTCTGTCTCCTATTTCATCGCTTGGATGGTGTTACTGCAAGGCCAAAATTATTCAGTGGTCCTGAGAAAAAACTCGCTATCTGTGTAAACCTACCATGGTTCACTTTGTACATGTTGAATTCTTTATATCTCAAATTGATAGAAAAGTACTGAGCAAAGATGAGTTATACTTAATTGACATTTCTGCTGCCAAAAAGGCAGATTCAGTTTTAGAAGTTTAGAAGCTCATGATCACGGTCGGCTTTCACACTCGAGGTGATAGTACACAAAGTTCTCAGATATTACATCAGCTTAAAAAACATACTGATTAATTAGGCAGTTGATACTTTTTATTTTGAATTATGTCACTCCTCTGTGGTTCAGAATCAAATTTAGCAAAAGTTTCGCAGATGGTCCAAAGACCGGTTTTAAAGCCATCCAATATCTAACTTAAACTTTACTGCACGTCATCAACCAAGAAATTCAGCGGAATGCTTTCTTTGTCATTCCAAAAATTTGATCCTTGCAATGTTTATGGATGAAAGAAGACATATTAGAGAACTAGGGTGGCTCCGATTGTTAAAAGCTCGATCACTTTCCAAGGAAAAGATTATTCGAAACTTCACTGCGCCAAAACACAACTTCGAAACAACAGAACAGGTCAACACGATTTGGTGGGATACATGTAATACCTCTCCTCATCCACTCTTACGGAACTTTATTTACGAAGACAAAAAAAAAAAAAAAAAAAAAAAAAAAAAAAAAAATTATTAAAGACTGGCACATCGCCGCAATCGGATTTAAAATGCTTGCTTTTTCTCATACAGGTTGTAAAACGGTTTGTGAAACAAGTGACTGAAGTATCTAAAAAATTGTGTGCTCCTGACGCAAGAGACGGCTTGATTAGGACGACCCCTTCTGTGACGATATCTTGTGCCAGAATTTTTCCCAAAGCCTACTTTTATGTTGAACTCTTTCCAATTACAAAATGAAAAAGTATAAATATATTCACCGTTTGTTTACTAAAAAAGAAAAAGTAAAATTATCAGAAATAACGAAATATTGGTGGTTTTGCAAGAAATTGCGTATTTTTAGATTTTGCGCAAACAATGAAGAATTTAGTATTGTAGGTTTAAAACGTTTTCCTATTCGTCATTTCCTAAAATTCACATTAGGAGCAATTGCATTTCTATAATAATTAATTATAAAATAAGTAATTTTATATTAATAAAATAATTTATAAGTATTATAAATAAATTACGACAGACAGCAAATTTTTGCTATTTTTTAAACCTTTTAGTTCAATGCAAGAACGAAAGATATATTTTTGTACGAAAACATTTTTTTTTTTTTTTTTTTTTTTTTGCAAAGTTTTGGCGATGCACTTTCTTCTCCCGAGGATTTTTTAGCAGAATTTTTTAAAATGTGATTTTTCATCCCGTCTTATTATACATTCCTTACACACTTTACTTTGCATATCGAATATGAGCATTAATTATAAAATATAGAGCAACAACTATGAGAAATATTGTTATCATAATAAATGGAAAAAAGTACCTAAACAGCTAAAAGTAGCCATCAACAATTAGTAATTCAACACACAGAACTTAATATTTAAAAAACTGAAACCTTAATTTTGGACATAATTTTCATTTCTGAAACCTCTTCGAATTCAACTATACATCACTTATTTCATCTGGTTTTTAAAGTCTTTAATTCCTTTTTCATCGTAAATAGCAGCTGATTTATGAAGTAGGAAATCTTTGTTATTTCATAAATCAGTCACTGTTTATGATGAAAAGAAAGATAAAACGACAAGATTTCTAGTTCATCATAGTTCAATGGCGTCAAGAGAGCGCTCATTGAAAGTTTGATCTAGTAAAAATTGATACCTCAATTTTCCTGCTTCCTCGACTATGTTATCACGCGCCCTTCAACCTTCAGCTTTACGTCCAGCATGAAGCTCACACAGTAAGTCAGATTAGTCCAATTTATTCTAAACGTCTACTCGACGAACAGACGCGCTATCAGCTACCGGTGGTTTATTTCCGGTATAAAAATTGCTCTAATCTCTAATAATGGAGACACGTGCTAGTTAAATATGGCACGCTATATTTTCTTTTACTCTGCGTGAAATTTTGTAGGAGAAGCTGTGTTTTTACACAAGGCTACTGTATTCATTCATCAAGTTAAAAAATTTCCTTTCTTTTAGCGCTTTTAAAATTCCTTCTTAACGATTAACTTAAATAAATAACTCAAACATTAATCAAGATAAACTTATCAATTACATAATCTGATGTCTTTAAAATTACAATATTGCGGTGCTAAGCGGAAAGCGCGTCGAAAAGATATACAAAGCCGGACAGCTGAAAAAATAAATTTTAAAATGGATAAAATTATATGAGTAACAAAGCGTTATATATATATATTGTTACGGAAATTGTACATTTGTAAATAATTTTAGTGAAATTATTCTTTTTTTTTTTTTTTTTTTTTTTTTTTGTATAATGTAACTTCAAATGCTTGAAAGAGACGATTCTCTGGCGAAAAAATAAGATTACGGGGGGGGGGCAAGTCAATTTAACAATGAGCAAATGGTTGTTTCGCTGAACTGGCGAGGTATCGCCAAGCTGGCGATGGTTTTTAACATTAACTTTTGTTGCCAAATTTGGCAAAAATTCCCCAGAGTCGCCAAATTTGGCGACCATTTTGCATTTTGTTGCAGTCCCTGTATAATTGTAATTGTTACTGTAACTGAATAACTATAATTGATCCCTATATGTAAATATAAACGTATCCGACCCTTATATACCTTCAATAGCACGACAAGTGGAGGGTACTAAAAATTTCTCGGCGGTTGTAGAAAAACTATATAAGACACGACGAGAGCATTACTTTTGAGTTGCTAATTCAGAGCTGAATTCGAAGTATCGAGATACCCGTGAGCGCTTCGCCTTTGAGATGCGCCTTTGCATTTCGCTGTGTTTAACTTTCTAAGTTTGAAGTGTAAGCAATGATTTTGCTCTGTGATACTTAGAACAGCTATACGAGTACTTTTGTGGAAAGTTTCAGAACTGTAAAGTGTCTCTTTTGATAAAAATTTTGTCATTACCTATCGTCGGTTCTGCGTGCATTCAATCCACTACGAACCCGTAAGCTCGGAACAATATAATAGAGAATAAGTAAATGAAAAACAATCTCCTCCTATGAAATGTGAAGTGAAATGACATAGTAAATATGTACTATTGTGGAAATAAAAAAATTTGGATGGTAAATAATTAAACTGGAATCGTTAAGAAAATGCAAAAATAAAACAAAGTCTAAAACAATACAAAAATGACGAACAGACTAAAGATTAAAACACCCCCCCCCCCACACACACACATATATAATATATAACTACAGATAGAATATGTAACAGCTAATAGAGAATATATACTACCAAGTACTATCAAATAAAGCATTCTTAAAATGGAAAGACAAGGTTTTTAACAAAATCAAACAACAAATTAATAAGTTAAATTTTTCAGGCGGATTTAAATAGAAACAGGATTCAGTGCAAAATCCATGCACTTAAGCAAAACATTACTATCACTAAAGTAGATAAGGCAAGTAATAACTTCAATATTATTTGAAAAAATATTACAAGCAACTAGGAGAAGCAGAACTCAATCAACCCATTACTTACTAAAAAAAAAACCACTGAAAAAGAAATCTCCATTGTAAACAATCTTAAAGCTTTTTCACCGCGAACTTAAAATTTCAATTCCTAAGGGAAAACAATAAATTTCCTAACCTCTATCATCTTCCTAAATTCCATAAAACGCAGCTTATATTCAGATTTATTGCCAATGCAACTAAAAATTATAAAAAGTACATTGACTTCTTGTTTGCCCAACACCTCAAAAAGGTTAATGACTTGATTAATGAAAAAAAAAAAAGAACACAAATTTTGTCAGAGCATAAATAATAACTTAACAATTATTTCTACTGTTAAGTAACTAGAAGTTAAACAAATTAACTGCTAGGATTTTGAAAATTTGTATACTACACTACCCTCACAAGGAATATGCAGCAGTCTGTTGTAACTTTCAAAATTATTTCCAGAAATGCTTTCAATAATTACATTAGATACAAGAAATATTTACCTCAACTGCACATTGTTTAAAACTATGCTAAATTTAACACCATTTTTAAACACATAAATAACATTCCTATGGGAACAAACTTCTCGACACAGCTTTTAGATCTATACTTTTTACTAAAAATTTCAATTTCAACAATTTCTTGACTAAGCAAGTTTAAAACTTTTTGCAAACACCTACAGGTATGTTGACGATACAATTACTTTTAATCATTATGATGTCATAAAAATTCTAACTCTATCCTTTTTGCTTAAAAGTTAATAAAACCAATAAAAATCAACAAGAAATAGAGTGTCTTAATCTTTGTATTATTAATTATAAAAAAATTAAATTTTTGATAAAAGAAGAATCTGTAATTAAGCTTATTAATTGGAAATCCAATATCTCTAGGAAAGTCATCGGTAACACAATACTCAACCAAGTTACTAGATTAAAAAAACCTATACAGATGCTGATGACTTAAAAACGATTGTTTCACTTTCACAAGTAATTAAAGAAAATAGCATACCCACACAATTTATTAATTATTTTCTTTAAAAAGCTGGCGCTGAATATCAAATTAATCTTTAAACAAACAGGTAATGATAAGCTTCTCCGAAACCGTAGAAGAGGGTGAGAAAGGATACCCTGTTTGCTTTGAAGATCTGTATATTTTGTAATTAAATTGCATAAAATATTTTCTGTAAATATTCTGGCAACCATCCTTTTTAGATGTAATTTTTTTTCTTTTGCATTAACTTTCATCCAGAATTAATTATAAAATCAGTTTTGATTTGCATTTCTTAATTTTTGCAGTTACATACAGTTTTTAACCATTATGTTCTGCCTTTTCTTTTTTCCTCCTGAATTGCTACACTACAAGAAAATTTGTGCCAATGGCAACCCTTTCCTGTCTCGATTTCATGCGATACATGAGCAGTCATAAGCAGTTATAAAATAACAGTACAATGGACTTTCCCAGACTTTAATCGTGGCAAAGCATAGCTTCTCAAGCTTGTTGCTATGACAGCGCTATATTGAAATCCTTTTTTGGTTACAGCAAAATGTAAGTAAAGTTTAAAATTAATTTTGGTTTATTAATATGTAAAAATTACATGTTTATTTGACTTTTATTTGTTTATTTTTTCTTTCCATTGTATCTTGATTTTTATTTCATTTTTCATATATTTTTCTTATTTTTTAGTTTTAAGTATTATTTTGTATGACCATTATATTTATTTTTGAAATTATTTATAATAAATTGTATATCCGTGGGTAGGAGAATTATTTAACATATCTGAACTTTTAAGATTTAAATTCGTATTTTATAAAACTGAATAGAAATTCAAAATTGGAATAGGCATTTTGTTCAAATATGCGAAATGGCGAATCGCGCTTCTCATGAATTGATGATGGTTGTGTGATTATTTCCCTTGATAAGTCGGAATCTTTCCATGGAATCAGCAATAATTATCTTGTTTTATTCTTTAATTTTAAATTTTAATTAACAATTTCATTTTAATTACTTACAAATTTCCAGATAATAATTTCCAAAGACATTTGCATTGCAAAGTATACATTTGCTTTTTAAATTTCATGTCAAATTTCATAGGAACTAATTTTCATTTATATATACTCTATGAAATTAAATTTTATCTTTACAGCAATAGCGCAAGATTTTACTTTTAACACCAGGAGAAAAATGTTAAATTTAATAAATTTTAAACTTCGTTAATTTTAAAGTTTTTCTTTACAAATTATATACAGATCTATATAAATTTAACTATCAATTTCTTATTTACTATTATCTCCTAGGAAATGAAATGTAAAACTACTGCAGAGTGAAATTAAAAAATGTTATTACTTAAGAGAACTGTGTTAAAACTATCAAAAACTTGCAATAAACCCGAAAGAAGTTTAGAATTTGTAATGGTATGCATTAATATCGTACATCTTAAAAAATAAGAAGAATAGTATATACATAAAAATAAGGTATAGCAGAACATACGACAAAAAGCAAATAAATTATTGATGCTTTCCCGGAAGACGGTTGACGTATCAAGGGGAATCAACCCTTCCCCCAAAAATCCGCAATAATTTGGGTATGATCGAGTTTCTTTTCCTTTGTGTGTTTAAATGAATTCTTTTAATAGCGAAAAACTAATATATAAAATTTGTGTTTAAATGAATTATTAGTAACTTTCAAACATGAATGTAATTCCCCAGGGCGATCAAAAAAGGAACATAGTTACAAAAATATTGTTATAAAAACTGATGGAGAATTTAGAAGTATTAATGCACACAAATATTATAATTTTTAACTATTATATACAAATTTCCTGCACTTATTATAATGTCTTAATTATATGCGTTAACAAAAATGTAGGCCAAAAAATATATAAATTTAATCCTAACTTACAGTTTAAATTCCATACTACAGAATTTTATTGAAAATTATATGCGTTTAAACAAAAAGGCGTCGTTGAACCCGACCCTTCAGGAATGTTTAGTTTACCATTGAAAGATGTCTGAGAAAGTGTTGAAAACGTTATATGTAGATAGGAATAGCGAATAATTTCCCTTTGGTTATTATGCAAATAAATTGTTTTGGATTTACAATAAATTGTTTTGGATTTACAATAAATTGTTTTGGATTTACAATAAATTGTTTTGATAACAAATGAATCAGAATTAAAAATTTATAATATTTTCTAGCTCAAAGTCAAGAAAATAGGAAAAAAGTAAGAATAACAG